GGGATTTGAACTCAGGACCTCATGCTTGCTAGGCAGGCAGTCTTATCGCTTGAGTCACTCCATAAGCCTCCATGTCACTTCTCATTCTGTTTCATGTAATAGCCTGCTAACTGGATTTCTGCTTTTATTATGTTCTATTATAGTCTTCACATTACTATTTAGTTGATCTGGTCATATATCCAGTCTCCCTCATCCTATCATCCAACAATCCATCCATCACCCTCTCCATCTCAACCCACCCATACCCATATATCAGTATCAGATTAAAATTCTTTACTGTCAACAGGATAAAGTCCCAACTCCTAGGTGTGGCAGTTGATACAGGTGTCTTGGTCCTGCCTGTTTCCAACCTCATTTCTCTTCATTCCAAAGGGAACACCTTGTGCTCCAGTCATACTCAGTCAGCTGCATTCCCCAGTGGTCATTCACACTTATGCCTCCAGACTTTGGGACACAGGATATCCTAGGTTTGGGAGTATAGGGTTTGGCTCAAGGACCATTTCTTTTTCACAGAGCCAGGCATCTTTGCACATCTCTATCAAGACAAAGCTCTGTAGTACTTATTACACTGCACTGTTGATGTTCGATTTTCCATCTTGCCCCATGGACTGTGAGCCACTTGAGAGCAGAGACTGGCTCTTGCCCGTCTTGGTGTCACCAGCATCTAGTGAAGTGCAGTGCTAAGTAATTTTGAATGAGTGGATGAGTGGATGCAATCAAGGCAAGGACTCATGGAGAAGGAAGATGGACATTCTGTGGCCACTTATGCTGTCCCTACGCCACAGAGCACAAGCTTGTGTGGCTGTTATACATTCAGGTGCTACATAAAGGTTGGCTGTCAGACATGAACACCAAGCAGGACAGCTTTGTGGGTGATGATCAGGGATCACTCTGTAGCTTTGTTCTCTTCCAACAAGGTCCCCCACACATCAGCCATGGTGGTTTCCTGTCTCGAGGATCTGATTGGGATTTGTCAACTTTCCTTCAGTAGCTGAGCATATCAGAAGATCCAAGCTGAGACCTTCCCTTCTGGATATTGTTTTAGGACAGCCTCATAATGTTGATATCGATAAGAAATCTAACTAATGTTAAGCTAGAGGTAAAGCAGTGCATTACCCTTTTCTCCCAGTCTCTAGAATGGAAGATGTCGGGCTTCCCTTTGACAATTTATGTGCATTCTACAGCTCAAAGTCAGCCTCTGTCTTGCAAAGTGAAGTGGAGAACCAGGATCCCTGAATGACTGTGTGGTGGAGAGCTTTCTTGCTCACCAGCATATGCCCTTGACTGGGTTAAGTGAGCAAGGAATAAACTTGCATTGTATTCAAGCTAATGATTTGTGGTAGAGTAGGGTGGAAATGGGGGACACTGGAGCCATTGTCCATTTTTTTAAAAGCAGTGATCCTTCTTTATAATACAGGAATGTATTGAGTAATTCAGGAAATTCTGCTTGCCCTGCACTTGGGTCCTTCTGGGGACAGTGGTTCCAGGTGATGTCTCCATAAAGTTAGCATACTTTGTACTGTTTAACCCTGGATGTAAGAGTAGAAAGATCAGGTCACAAATCTGTATTTGGACCTTAAGTAATCATGACTCATTATCATGATCCTGTTATCATGACCGGGATAACAGGAAGCAAATTAACCTGATGAGGAGCTCTGCCTCCCTCCCCATCCCCAGGGGTGCTCCATATGGGATGCTGACAAACTAACCTTACCCAGTTCTGTATGTTTGGGACTATTGTGCTGTCCCCTTAGAGAAAACAGAAGGAGCCACCCCTGAGAAGATGACACAACTCCTGGGTCACCAGAGGTGCTGTTCATGCTGAGCAGTCATAAGCCTTCTTCTGTGAGTCACTGCATACCTTGGAGCAACTTGATATGATTGCTCTATGTGTGTCCTGTACCCAATGTCCTCAGCAAGTCTCATAGTAATTGTGTTGCAGGAGTTTGCTAGCTGAGATACGGGACCCTTAAGGCTATTAGTAGGAAGCAACGCTTTATTGTGCCAGCACAGACTCAGTGGACTCATGTCCAAAGGCTGAGCCCCGAGCACAAAGGGGGTCTCACCTTATATACCCTTGCAAGCAGGTTACAGAAGCAAAGAGCAAGGGCTAATCCATATATGGTTATATTTAATTTTATTGGCTAATTTATCCTAGTGCTACGTGACTTTCCCCTCCCTGGTGCTATGTGACCTTCCTCATGTTCAGATCTCTCAGGTTTTATCTCTCTTCTATGCCATCCCTACCTCCCTGCTACTTTCTCAGGACTCAGGCTTAGACTGTTTCTTCTGATCCTTCTCCCTGCTTCACCTGTCCTATCACCTGAACTGCTGGGACACTGGTCTTCCTTGAATTCTAAAAACATGACGTAGATAAGGAATTAGCAAATAAACATGGAAGATTTCCAAAGGAGATAATTATAAGTTCTTAAGTTGTTGGGATGGAACTCATGACCTAAGGACAATTTGTTTTATATAAAGAAACAGCTTTAATATAAAGGTGAGGAGAGTCCTACTATGAAGAAGACATTTTAAAATCAAGGAAGTCAAGGAAGAAAGTATTTATGTAAAGATAAAAGAAAAGAGAAAAAGAAGCCAAACTGTGTGGAACCAACCCGAGCATAAGAGGAGAGAGACGGTGCTTTACGTACACTGTAAAACTTTAATATTATTGAATGGAGAATCTCAAGCATCAGAACCCCTGCCTGATACCTGAGCACAGATGCTAAGCTTGAAGGCAGACTGGATTATATCAATTCCAAAGACGACAAGGTAAATTTGCTTTTATTTTCCTAAGCAGTTCTTGGGATCAGAAGAAGCTTAGGTACGCACAGGTGAGGAATGGGATGCAAAGTGAGGGACAGACCCATTGGTTAAGGAAGACAATGTAACAGTAACAAACAAGAGAAGCAAAGACAAGCATTCAGGGCCTGATTTTCTTCTTCCTTCCCTACAAGAGTGAAACTCTGGACAAGCAGGGGAAAAGTCATAAGGTGAGTTGAGGGTCAAAGGCAGAAGAGTGAGGTTGCATTTGATGCTTTGAAAGCCTTGTGCTTAGATAAATATCACATTCTGAGGAACTGAATGAATTTGTAGAAATGATGGGAATAACTGCCAGAAATCTTGGGGGAATGCCGCTAAGGTGGTGGAATAGGGAATCCCAGTCCTCAGTTTCCCAGAGAAACTGATTTAAAAGCCACCCATGGACAAATAACTTTATGAGAGCTCCAGAGCCAGAACAGAGGTCACAGCACCAGGGTGAGGCACAGAAATAAGATGCACTGAAGGAGGGACCATTCAACTTACCTCATGTCATTCTTACCCCTAGTCCACCGGACACAAAGGGGATAGGGAGGGAGAGAGGGAGAGAGAGAAGAAGGAGGATGAAAGCAAGAGAGGGAGGGAAAGGGGAGGCAGGGAGAGAGAGGCAGAGAGTTAAAAGACCCCCATTCTCTCCTGTTGTGTTTAGCCGTTTTCTTGTGTCCCCTCAGCCTGTTTCCCCAAGGGGGAGTTCAGAAGATGATTTTTCATTCCTCTCTCATGCACGTGAGATTTACCTTGGGCCAGAGAGTTGGGAGCAGGGGTTTTCTGGCACTGTATTGGTACTTAATCAAAAGGCAGGTGCCCCCCCCCATCACTCTGGATATGACACAAAAGATGTCCTGTAAGATGGAGTGGGGAGAGCAGTGTCTAGCTGAGGACCTTGTCTTCTTGAGGGAACTCACACCATGGGCAACTTTCCTAGGAATCAGGTTTGTGCTACAGCTCTGCTTGGTGGCTCGGCATCCCTGCCTCTGTTCTCTTCTTCACTAGGACTTGGCTGGGGTCTTGCCTCCTTTGCAACCCTCCTTAGAGAGTCCAGAGCAGACCTCTGTGCCTTGCTGGATTCGTCACCCTCTCCCTCTTGCTGTGGCTCTTTCCCATCTGTCTGGTCTCCCCAGTCGGACCTGGGCTGCTGAATGAACTTATAGAAATGATGGGCACAATTGCCCAATGGGCACACTCCATCCACATGGCTTCATTTTTTGTTTTTTTTCAGCTCTGGGGTTTGAACTCCAGGCTTTGTGCTTGCTAGACAGGTGCTCTACCACTTGAGCCATGCCTCCAGCCCCTTTTGCCTTTTGCCTGAAATCTCCAGTCCAAGGGCTAAGGCATTATTCTTTATTGTTATTATTGGTGATGCTGGGATTTGAACTCATGTTAGCTAGGCAAATTGTTTTTTGAGATAGGATCCTGCTAACATTTTTGCCTAGGGTGGCATCAAACTGCAATCCTCCCATCTCCACCTCCCTAGTAGTCTTGTTCTGCTGGGACCTCATCACTTGCCAGTTCCCTAGGCAGTTACTGGACTGGCAAGTAACTGGGGATGGGTGGGGATCCCCCAGCATTTGTGGATCAGATGGATGCCTGCCTCCATCCAATCTGCCAGTGCTCCCTAAGGACCTGATATGTGCTCGTGGCCAGGGGAACTAGAAGGCAATAAGACATGTTTCCTGCCTTCAAGGGAACAACCCAAACTCCAGTGGCCACACTCCAGGGTGGAATGTGGAAAAGGAAGTCTTAGGTCACAGGAACTCTTGGAGAGTTCCTTGATGTGTGGCTGGCCTGAAAAGGTGGCTGCAAGGAACCTCATTGGGACATGGGACCCTTCAGTATCAGAAATGTGCTGGCCCAAGCGGATCACAGCATTGAAGGAAAATGAGCTGCTTAATAGGTATGTCTAGGCCTGTGAGGTCAAAAAGTCAGAAGATAGTTTTATTGTGATATGGGGTCTCCTTGACATGCTTATTAAAAGAGGCAAGTTTCAGCTCTCCTCTCAGGCTGCCTAGAGGGATTCCCACGTTCATAAATGACATTAATAACTTTCTTTTGACTTTTATGTGGCAGGAGGCCTGTCCTCTGACCGATAAAAGGAAGGAGCAAAAACAGGTCTCAGCGTGAGCCCTTGTTGTTTCTCCATCTTTGCCTCATTTGCTGGGTCTGTCCTGCACAGCACAGGAATGGCAAGCCGCTCCTACCGCATCAACTCCAATTGTGGGGCCAGAAATTTCAGTTCCTACTCCGCAGTCATGCCCAAGCCTGGGGCCCACAGCTGCATCAGTGCCATGGCCTACCATAGCGGGGACAGTCCTGTGGGGCTGGGTTACAAGCGCTTGGGGGGCTTTGGCAGCAGGAGCCTGTGTTTGGTGGGGTCTCCTCGGATTGCAGTGAGCTGCAGACGGCCCTTATGCAGTGGGGGCAGCTTTGGCTACCGGGCAGGGGGCCTTTGCTGGCCCAGTCCCCCCTGTATCACCACTGTGACAGTCAATGAGAGCCTCCTTACGCCCCTCAACTTAGATATTGACCCTAATGCACAGGGCGTGAAGCACGAGGAGAAGGAGCAGATCAAGTGCCTCAACAACAAGTTTGCTGCCTTCATCAACAAGGTGGGTGTCCTGGGTCACACTGCTCCTGAGCAAAGTGGGACTGTGTGCTCTTCCCTGGGGTTGTGGCTTGGGAAGGGACAAGGGACTCAGATACTGGCGATGGGTTGGGTTCTAATCTGCTACCAACTAGCATGGAAAACCAAGACCCGATTCAGCCACGTTCTCCAAGTCACATGCTAGAGTGGTGCTGAATCAGGGTCTTGGTTTTCAAATGTTGCCATGAGAGTTAAGTGCAATGGTGGATGTGAAACCATGAACAGAGAACAGAAAGGTTTAGCTGCAGCTCAGTTGCCCAGCAAGCCAAATGTGTGTCTGTGGTCCCATCTTTCAGATTCCAGCTCTTGCACAGTGGGAGGGTGTATGTGTGTGATGCATGTAGTGGAATGTATAGCTTTCTCAGAGGAGAAGCTGCTATCCTCTGCATGGAGTGGGGAACCAGGACCAAAAGGGGCTAGAGGCTCCTCTCCAACTCCTCCTTAGTGGAGACACCCTAGCAAGGCTGGGAATCCTCAGGACTTCTGCCCAAGACACTTTTCACCCCCCTATTCCACCCCTGCACTTAAAGGCTGCCAGGTAAGAACCTTAAAGGATGGTCCATGGAGAAGCTGTTGACTTGCACTTGCCTGACCTTGCAGTTCCTGAGCCCTCATGGCTATGCAGATAGATACCTCTGGTTTTCTTTGACCTGGTGATACCCTTCTGATACCCTCTGAGAGCTCAATCTTCCAGGGAGAACAGTCACTGAAACCCAAGGCAGGAAAGGCTCACCATCCAGGCTATTCCCAGACATGCACCAGCTCTGCTCTCAGACAAGTATGGCCCTCAAAATGGAATTACCTGTAGGTAAAGGTGCTCCACATCCATCCTAAACATGCCTTGGGCTGTCCAAACCACTCTTCCCTTCTGCTGGCATGAAGGAGCTGGATATAGAGCTATGTAGGTTATCCATTGGAGGGGAACACCCACCAGAGTGGGGGAAGTTGTATGTAGTCCCTGGTTTGCTTTCTGGGCTGGGTGCCCTGGTAGGAAGCTGCCTCTTTTCCTGATTGGCTCCAAAGCAGTGAGGGCCCTGAATGTGCAGATGCAAAAAGATCTCACCCACAGATACTCTTTTTGTGAAGAGGGATCAGTTCCTGATCTGGGGAGAGACTCACACCAGGCTGGCCTTCTCCTCCCCTGGGGCTGTTGACAGCCACCCATTTCCCTCCAGTGTCCTTCCTTTAGGTCCAAACTACATTGAGCTCCAGGCTGCAAACTACATTGATGCAGTGGTTTAATCCTGCAGAGCAGCAAGTCAGACTGCTGGTCCTGCAGGCTGAAACCCAGGCAGATAGATGCCTTTTGGATAATCAGGATTTGATCTCCTTTCCCACAAGCACAGACAGTTCTGAGTTCTTTGTATAAACTGGCATTTTAGGTATAAGGCAGGAGAAGAAATCACCTGGTTTGGGGCTGAGACTGACAGACTTAGGTGTGTGTATGAGGTGATGGCAGGTCACGTGAATGAAGTCAAACTGAGAAGCATGCCTATTGGGGATGCTGCCTGCCACTCACGGACAGGCACGGGCCTAACATTGCCAGAGGTTCTGGTTTGTCAAGAGGGTCAGCACCTAATTAGGGAAGTTACCTGGGGATTGACTCTGACCTGCACTTTCAGAGTTTGCCAGTGATTTGGCCTCCTTGGGATGGTCACAAGCTGCATAGTAGAGTTTATCTGAGAGGCAGAGAGAGCTGCCGGGGTCCTAGCACTTCCCCTGAGTTCCACTCTGAGTCTCTTTCCTCTACCCTGATCGGCAGGTGCGCTTCCTGGAGCAGCAGAACAAGCTGCTGGAGACCAAGTGGCAATTCTACCAGAAGCGCAAGTGCTGCAACAGCAATCTGGAGCCAATCTTCAGTGGCTACATCGAGACACTAAGGCGGGAGGCTGAGCACGTGGAGGCCAACAGCGGGAGCCTGGCCTCAGAGCTCAACCATGTGCAGGAGGTGTTGGAGAGCTACAAGAAGAAGTGAGCATGATTGAGTTGTGGCAGTTGTAGGGAGTGAAGTAGGTTTTAGCCATACAATCTTCCTGATGTCAGACTGCTGAAGGTCAAGGTCAGTCCTGACTGCCTATCATTGTGTTCTGTTGTATCACAATCTAATCTGTTTTATATCAACTCCAAGCTCTTCTAGTCCCATTTTGGGCCTAGGGAAATATTTGAAGAGAAGAAGAGTTCCCAGTTTGATGAGTGGGGGTGGGAATACACTACTGAGAGCACAGAGTGATATAGGGACAAAGGGGCAAGAACAAATGAAACAGGGGAACCAAGGTCACCAGAACTGGAGAGCAGACTAGAGTAGTCAGCACCAGCATAGTGGGCAGGGAAAGACTCTGAAGATGCCTGGAGAATGAGCTGGCTGATGCCATTCAAAGTATCTGAGGAACTTGGAACTTTACTTACCCTGCAGATAGACTATTCAGCTGTCCTTCTGCAAGGCTCCACAATTCAAATGCCAGTGTAAATCTTTAGTTTTAGCCTGAGTTGTTTAATTTGGCCATTACCTGGTCTATGCTCACTGGGTGCTGTTTTGTTTCTTTCTGGTACTAGGGATAGAACCCAGGGCTTTGTGCATGCTAGGTAAGCGTGCTGCCACTTAGCTATATCTCCCCCTCCCCTTTAATTTTCTTTTTTGTTTTGAAACATGGTCTTGCTAAGTTGTCTATACTGTCCTCAAATTTGGGATCCTCCTGCTTCAGCCTCCCAAGCAGTAGGTCTTGGATCACTCTTACCTCACCCAACTTTACCTTGTAGGTATGGATACAGTGAAAGATGATTTTTTTCCTGAGATGCTGGGATCAGACTCAGGGCCTTATACTCATTCTAGGCAAGTGCTCTATCAGTGAGCCACCTCCCCATTCCTGTGAAAGGTGATTTTGACATTAATCAGTCCCAGTCATTCTAACCCCAACTCTCCTTGATATCTAGTCTTGGAAGATTAGGTTTTACCATTCATATGGGCCCTTAGTTCCCATGGAGTGAAGCAAACATACACTTTTCAGTGGGCAGGTGTCAAGGTCTGTCTCCCATTCTAGGCGTATGAGGGCTGGTAATTACAGAGCTGAGTGTTTATTGCACTCACATTTCTCTGTAATTAAGAAGTTGTGGAAACTTCTTCGCTCTGGGAACTCTGCTCTCCTCAATGACTGGGGCTACACTGCCCCAGGGATGAGGTGTCACTGGCCAGGGAAGGGGCCAAGTCAGCACGGGAGGGTAGGGGGAATGCCCCTGGACTGTGGGCTGCCTCCAGGAATTCAAGCCCTGGCATACTGGGTGGGGACACCAGAACCTCACAGGGGCGATTCCAGAAATCTTCATGCTTTGTACAATTTTAGAACTAAAAGGATCCAGGGAGAATCTGTCTGCCTTTCTCTCATCCTACAAATATTTTCTGTGTGCCTTCCCGCACAAAATGCAGACAGATTGAGCAACTTGACTCAGGCTCTACTGTGATTTCAGTCCAAGCTGGGACAAGAGTCCAGTGTCCTTTTGACAGATTCTTTGTGACTGGGAAATAGAAGTCCAGAGAGTAGACTTCTTTTGTGTGGCTTCTTCTCAAAGACACATAAAAAGTAAAGTGAAGACTAGAGAGGTTGCAATCAGGTGCTCCAGCTGACTAGTCTTCCTCTGTGTACTCTCCTCAGGTATGAAGAGGAACTGGCCCTTAGGGCCACAGCTGAGACTGAGTTCGTGCTGTTGAAGAAGGTGAGTGACTTCTCCCACATGGCAAAGAATGGTGTCATGGACACTGGAAACTGGTACTGAGTGTCCTGCCATATTCCCATGAGTACAGTGGTTGGGGACAAGGCACTCAATCCTCCTGGCAAGTGACAGTGGATTGGTGTGGATGCAGAAGCCCTCCTGGCCCCTGTGCAGCAACTCAGACTGGTCTGATGGAGGCATCTTAAGAAAATCCTAAGGTTGGGCTTTCTGCAAGCAACCAGATTAGCTGAATTGTTCACTTTGAAATCTATGCCTCTCCCTTGTGGTGATGGCTTCTTCCTATCATCTCAGATTGGGGGTAGTTGGTTTTTGGCTTTCTTATGATTTTGTAAGTATAACTAACATTCAATGCCATGAGAGAGGGTGAAAAAAAAAAACACAGGGAAACACTGCTTATGGTTTCATTTTTGCTTCAAATTGATCAGTGAAAATGTAAATATGTGCCCTATAATAAACAATATGTTCAGCAGACAGTCTATTTGTAAGGAAGTATGGAGTGAAGAGAAGGCTAGTAACAAATTTGCCAATAGAGGTGGAACTTGGTCTCAGGTAGAGTTATTTGGTGTTACCTGCCCTGGGCTCTGTGACTTGTCACTGGCTCTGTAAGTCTGCTTGGCTGAGCAGGAGCAGCCTGATATCCAGGGCTGTGTTGCCAGGCTTTCCTTTTCAGCAAGGCCCTCAACACTGGAGGGAATCCGACTTCGTTCCACTTCCTTTCGTCAGACAGCTGGGTCCCTCTCTCACACCGTGAGAGGAGATGTCAATTACATATAGCAAAGGGGGCCCTGGAGGTGAAGGTGAGAAATACAGGTTATATGTGTAAGTGCAAATGTTGATCAGGGGGCAGAGGATGTGCCCAGAGATGGCCTCAGGGCTACTTCAGAGCACAGAGGCTCAGGGCATAGTGAGGGCAAGTGTGCCCACTCCTTACCCTCTCTTGCCCCATCCACCAGGACATAGACAGTGCCTATCTGGGCAAGGCGGACCTGGAGGCCAATGTGGAGTCACTGAGGGAGGAGACCATCTTCCTTCAGTCCCTCTATGAGCAGGTAACAGAATAAAGAAGGACAGAGGGAGCAGGGTGTTCTTGGGCCGTGGCCTGTCCTGGTTCCTGGGTTCTGGGAAGCATTTGCATTCCTTGCTCTCTTTCCTTCTGTGACCTGAAGAGATTTTTCTCATGTTCAGGTTTTCTTTCAAGATGGAAATGGGCGATGTCCTTTCTTTAAAATCACGTCTCAGCATGACGTGAAGTGGAGAGGGACAAATAATGGATTAATTTGGGTGGTGTACAGGCCCAGTTGGATAATTCAGGACTCCAACTCTGGCTGCTGTTTGGTGGATTAGATTTACACAGACCGCTTCAGCTGACGTGGAGTCGATTTGCAATCGTCTTTCATTGACCCAGGCATCCATGGAAGTCTCTTCTACTAGCCTCGGACCTTGGTCCTAATTCCAACCTCTTTCTCTTAAAGCTACTTTTAAAAAAATTCCTGGCTTGTTGGTAGTTTTTTTATTTCTTCCTAAGGTTTTAGAGTTGGGACTGTGTGTGCTGGGTTACCTGCAGAGATGGGATTGGAGCAGGGTTTGCAGCTGAGGCTACTGGTTGTGTTTCCCGCAGGAAATCTGCCATCTTCAGTCACAGATCTCTGAAACCTCAGTCGTAGTGAAAATGGACAACACCCGGGAGCTAAACATGGACATGGTTGTAGCTGAGATCAAGGCTCAGTATGACGATATTGCTGGCCGTAGCCGGGCTGAGGCCAAGTCCTGGTATCAAACTAAGGTACACAGGAGAGCTGGGCTGCCCCACTGAGCAAAGGAGATAGCTGCAAACCTAGAGTTCTTGGACTAAGTACCTGTGAGCTCCAGGGAGCTGCAGCTGAGGCTCTGGGCGGAGCAGGGCATGGGGTGGGACCCCTGCAGAACTGTGGGCTGCCCAGTCAGACTCTGCACTTTGATGTTCCACCATGCCCTCTAGTCAGGTTGTTGGCCTGTTTGCCCCCAATCCTCAGTGCAAGGAAGTGAAGGCCACAGTGGACCAGCAGGGTGAGAACCTCCGCAAAACCAAGGAAGAGCTCAACGAGCTGAATCGAATGATCCAGAGGCTGACGACGGAGGTGGAGAATGCCAAGCAGCAGGTCTGGCCAGACACCCCTGGGGGCATCTGCTGCTTCCTGTCTGCTTTCTGCTTTCCTCTCATCTTCAGTGACAGTCACTATTTTTGGAGAGACTTATATTTTAATTGTGCCAAAAATTCATCCTTTACCCTGCTCTAGCACTTGTATGATCCCATTCTCGTGGATCTGGTAGATGTCAGCTGACATCTAGTTGTTAATTTTAAATAGTTATTTCTCTAGTTAGCCAGTGATGTGGAATATCATATGCTAACTAGTCATTTGTATTTCCCTTCTAAGAATTGCCTGTTACCCCATTTCTACTAGGATTCCTGTCTTTTTTTCTTGGTGATTTGTGGCACTGCCTCATCCATCCTGTTTAGATTATAACCCTTTGTCAGTTACACATGTAGCAATTAATTATCTTCTCTCATTTATCACTTTTTTGTTTGCTTTGCTTGTTGTCCTCTATTGAACAGAAATCTTTAACCTGAATGTGGCTAAGTCTATTGGTTCTTCCCTTAAGGGCTTACTTACATTTGGGAAGTTTTGAAATAATGGAAGCATTCGCTCATCTTTGTATCCTCTGCTAGTTTTCCCTCACAGTTAGGTCTTTAGTCCATTTGAACTTTCTTTTTGTCTATACAGCAAAGAACGTCTTAATTCAATTTTTCTACATATAATTAGCAAATAGATTATGAAAACCATTCTCTTTCCCCTGATTTGCGATCCCACAATGCTAAATTCACATACACATCTGGTTTAATTTCCATCTTCTCCTTTCTACCTTTGGCTGTTCTCAACCATGCTGCAAATAGGTAACTTGTTATTAATAATATCTGAGCTAATGAAGTGAAGTTAGAGAGGAGTCAGAGGCGGCCTCACGGCAACCTGGCTCTTGCTCATTTGCATGTGGGTGTGCTGCAGCTCATGTGTCGGGAGTTGCCGCAATGGGCCCTTCCTTCATCTTGCTGGGCTCAGTGGACCAGTAATTGAGACCGTGCATGGTGGCCTTTTGAAGATCTGGGCTTGGCACTACCTAATGGGTAGCCTAGGACAAGTGACAGGCTCTCTGAGTCTCACTTTCTTTGCCTGTATAATGGTATAATAATGCTTGTTCTGACAAGTCTGGAAGAGTAACTTGAAGGTCAAGTAAGACATTATCTGTGAAGGAGTTGTCAACTAATACTGGTGTGCAAACATAGGGTAAGATCACTAATTATTATCTGGACCATTCTGGTGTCCACATTTTCTCCCTCTAATGGCTAACTTGTAAAACTCAAGTGAATTCAATAAGAAAGTGGTACAAAAATGAAGAAAAAGAGTTCTGGGTGTGGTGGTGCACATAAGTAATCCCAGCTCTTAGAAGGCTGAGACAAGAGGAGTGTGAGTTACAGACCAGCCTGGGCTATATAGCAAGATCCTGTCTCAAACAAAAAAACCCCAGAAAACAAAATGCAGGAAAAGTGCTCCAAATGAGCTATTATTTTCCTGCCTAGTTAATTTCCAATGGTTTTGTTTAAAAAAAAATCACCTTCAAAAGGCGACTATTTAATCCTAAGATTTATAAAATGAGGTAGGTACTTTGTTATTGTAATTTTCAGTGTAACAGAAATATAGGCAAAACAAGCTTATTGTGAAAACAAGGTGGCTTGCTTTTTTTTTTTTTTGTGGTACTGGGTATTGAAGTCAGGGCCTAGCATTTGGTATGCAAGAACTCTCCACTTGAGCCATGCCTCCAGTTCTTAATGGTTTTTTTAGTTTGTGTTTTAGATTGTCTCTGGTTTTTGCCCAGGCTGGCCTCAGACAGTGATCCTCCTACCTCCATCTCCCTAGTAGCTGGGACCACAGGCATGTACCACCAGCCTGCCTTGTTTTTGAGATATCTTTTTGCCTGGACTGACCTTGAACTGCATTCCTCCCATCTGTCAAGCAGCTAAGATTATATGCATGTGCCCCCACACCTGGCCCAAAAGGTGACAATTTTAAATGGAGGCCAGATAAGATGACTAAGGTCACTAGCTCAGGCTACATCTTTTCAAATTCCTTTCTTCCTCAATTATCCCCAGCGCTGTAAGCTAGAGGCTGCCATAGTGGAGTCAGAGCAGCAGGGCGAGGCAGCCCTCACTGATGCCCGCTGCAAACAGACTGGGCTGGAGGAGGCCCTGCAGAAGGCCAAGCAGGACATGGCCTGCCTGCTCAAGGAGTACCAGGAGGTGATGAACTCCAAGCTGGGCCTGGATGTGGAGATTGCCACTTACCGCAAACTGCTGGAGGTCGAGGAGAGCCGGTGAGGACAGACGCTCTGGGGCCCCTTCACATCCCTACTTAGGGCTGGAAGGGTGCCTCACTGGTCTAGAACCCTCCAGGCAGAGAGGGTTCAAACTGGGATCAGTTCAAACTGATCATGTCGTTCAACCATTTCCCCATTTTACAGATAGGGAAACAGATCCAGACAGGGGAAGGGGCTTACTCAGATCACAGCCAGTTGGTGGCTAAGCTAAAATGACATGAGCCAGGTGCAGAAGCAGAGGATCTCAGCTCTGATGGCCCACTCCCTCCTCTCCCCCACAGGTTGTGTGAAGGCGTGGGCTCAGTCAATATCTGTAAGTAGGGTGTGGGTGAGTAAGGCTCTCTTAGGTGTCAATATTAATATTAGATATTGGGCACTAGATGAGGGAGAATATAGATGAAGTCTCTGGGAAATGGACAAAATATTTGCCCCTTACATAGATCCATTTGGCACAGCCACAACACCTAAGTTAATTTTCTGCAAAATAAGCTAAGCTGTACACACAGAATATTTCTCATGTGGTTCAATGGTTTAATAAGAAGAAATACTACATTTCTATTTTGATCTTCTAGGGTCTCCATATGTTGCTAGTAACTCAAGACCTTTGGAATTCCACTGTTTACACAGTCCCAAGGCTGATGTCTGTTTCTGCTCATTCTTTCCCCTCATCTTTCTAGCAACTATATTTCCAGATGATCCTTCTAGTATGATTCATCAAATATTGATGAACACATCTCAACATCAATCTGAGAAGAGTAACTGATCTAATTTTTTAACCAAATTCCTTCAAGAGGCAGATGGCAATGGGTTTAGGTTTGCCTGTAGTTTTAAAAGACTCGTTTTGCTCATTCATTGGAATATGAAGAGAATTAATCATTGATTTTAAAAGAAGAGACTTTTGACCTGATGTTTCTCTTCACAGGTGTGAGCCGTTCCCAGGGTGGTGTGGTCTTCGGGGACCTCAGTTCCACTGTCTCGTGTAGCCTGGGGACCATGGCCATCAATGGCGGTGGCTTGTGCTCCCCCTCTGTGGTGGGGACCTGGTCCAGTGCAAGATCTGTGCGGTTTGCATAGACGGCATGGGACTCTGGACAGTTGTGTCTGTTGGGGACAGCAGTGGGGCTGGAGGAGGAAATCTTGGTAATTTTTCCTCTCAGTGGACATAGAAGTAACTGTCCAGTTTCCTTCTTCATGGAGTTATGACTCATTCTTTAAGTGTAAGCCCTGGGTTGGGCAGGAATCTAGGTACAGGGGTGTGCAGTGTATAGGCACATCTTTGGGTTCGCTCTGTGCAGAGATGGGCTATGGATGCCACCTCTGGATCCACAACAGGAAGGGGAGTGGGGCTAAGGCTGCAGGGAAGCTTTTCCCTTGCTCTGAGACATCAGAGTCCCCCAGCTATTCATATGTCGGGATGGAAAGACTGGCTGAGGAGAGTCATCTGGATGGATACTATTGGCTGTTGGAATTCTACTGCATTTGTATATGATATCCTCATGGCTCTTGCTTTCTTTTGATTATTAAATGTCAACAGGGAAAGGCTTTCTCCTAGTCATTGTGCCTGCCTCCTTCATTGTTTTTCTCACCCATCCCAGAGCTCTGATTATTTGCGTGCCTCTCAGGCTGCGATCCCCATGGGGTGCTTATCCTGGATGCAGATCCTGGGCTCCAACTAGAGCCTGAATCAATAGTTCTAGGCACGTGGTCAGAATTCTGCCATTCCGACAAGCTCCCAGGAGATTCCTGTATGAACTGAATTTGGAGGCCCACTGGTTCATGTGTGTAGAGGGAAGAGAAGGGTCAGATAATTCTGGCTATGGAAATGACTTTCCCTCTAATTCTAAGAGGGTCAGATTAGTTAGCCCCTTTGTCTTCTTCTTTGCCTATGCTGAAAAGTCAGAGTTATCCACAAATCAGGTGGGGTGGGAACAAGGTAAAAAGGGGAGGAGAAGGGACCCTGCAGTCACTAAGCACCTGCTGGGTACCTGACACGAATGTGCGTATTTCATTCATTTCTTACAGCAATGATATTATTATCCTAGTTTATAGATAAGGAAGTTAGGGCTCAAAGAAATGACTACTAAGGTCACAAATGGTCTAGGATCCAAACTCAGATCTAGGGTATGTAGGTGTTTATACACATTTTCACAACATTCTCTAATTGTTCCTTCAGGCTCAACATTCTGGTTTATCGGATGTCCTGGGCATCTTATCCCTGGTCCTATTTTACTAGTTGACACTTCGGAGATAAAAGATGGAAAGTGACATAGAGGGCCTCCTGGGGACATCTGTAGAAACATCTCCCTATAGCATCTGTTCTCTGAGAATCCTGGACAAATCTTCCAATGGGATAGTTAGGACAGGCCTTGGTCGTAACTTAAATCTCAGCTCTCTGGTTGGAGGACATTTCTCTGGGGGCCTGGACAGAGGCAGTTGATTGGTGAACTCTGCCTCTGACCTGTTCCTGAAGTGACAGCCCAGGAAGTTGTACCTAGGGGAGATTTGTTGCAACTCCTTCTGGCTGGATGTGAGGAGAGGGAGAAAGGGCTTTTTGATGAACAACTTTCTTTCCCTTCTTATATAGGAAGGAGTGTACTTTTCCCACCTTATTTTATTTAGGAACTCAAAAAAAAGATTTCAAAGGAGACCTGACTGCATAGAAGATAGTTTGCTACAGAATACATATTTGCTGTCAAGACAGAAAAACCTTTGAATAGTTCTCCCTGGCAACACAGTCCTTCTGAAGCCTTTGTGAACACCGCGGGTTCAGTCTGTGACCAGAGAACTTGAACTTCTTTGTGTCCCACTGGGAAGACTCATGGCAGGACATATGGGTATAGAAAGAGTTTATTAAAAGTTAGGAAAGGGAAATACAATACATGGTAGATGCAAGTGGAGTTTGGAGGCCGAGAGAGCCTTTCTCAAGTACCTTTAAAACTTATGCTTATCTATGGCAAGGGAGGAACCAGGAGATTCCCATCCAATGATCAATGAGTGGGAAGGAGCAAGGGCGGTTCCCAGCCAGGTGAGGGTGGTCTGTTGGCATGTTGGAGCAAAATGTGTTTCAATTTTAGCCCTACATATACATATGAGTCCTGAACTTTGCCTTCTTCTAGCCTGCCCCACATTCAGATTGTGCCCCCAGGGCATTGTAGGGAAGTTCATACTTTCCCCCTGAAGGTTCAAATTGAGTTTGCTTAGATGAGCTGACAATAGGCAGATGAACATATAAACCATATAAATTTATTAATGTGCAGATGTGAACTGGAGCCACATACAAAGTATGAGACTCAGAGAAACGGTCATATAGTTGAAGCTTAAACAGCATTCTGACCTACAGAAAGAAATAAGAACTTGAGATTCCTGGAAGGAGGAAGCAACAAGTTATGGGAGTGTGAAAGAAGAGTTGTACTTCAAATAGAGGTTGTCATTATGCAGATAAACCCTCCCAGGTGAATCTCTCAGGGCTGCTTTCAGAATACATGAAAAATCTGTCTAGGCATTAGTGACTAGTGACATTCAGTTTTCTTTCCTCTGGTGGTTAATCTTTCTCAGATAGGAGGGTTTAGGACAATTAAATTTCTTTCGAAATTTTCTTCAGTCAGCTAAGGAAGAGGAAAAAAAATTAAAAGACAACAGGGGCTGGGGAGAAGGCCAGAGAGGCTTCGATTCTAGGACTGTTTCTCCAGCTCAGTGTGTCAAACTGCCACATATTAGAGAGTCATTTCCTGAGCCCTGACACAATGCCTTAGTGTAGTGTCGCCCTTGTCTGCTGCCTTCTGGACTGAGAGGCTGTCACAGAGCACATTGTGGTCTGGATCCCATCAAGTTTAAGCCGGCTAAAATTGAAACACACATTGGGTCCAGCCACTTGCTCCAACATGCCAAATGCAGAGATAGTAATGGCGAAGGACAGGGAAAGGAAGTGTATTATGTGGCACTAGCACATCCCAGGAAGAAGGTACTTCTTCCACCTTCAAGGTAAAGACATGAGCCCTAGGTTTAAATAGAGACAGAATTTGGGGCAGGGGCATAATGATTAAAGAGTCCTGGTCAAATTATGGCCTTTATTGTTTCAGCCCTGGTTTGGGGAGGGGTTCTGAAGAAGTTTCCATTGATGTTGCATTTGAGGGCAGAAATCTAGTCAGTCATTGTTGCCCAATGGGTGGTCTGTCTGTCCTTTCCTTGGAGACAGTTTCCCCCCTTTGAAATGATGTTATCGATCGGTCTCGTCCTTACTGGTTTCCAAGGTGGCTGCAGAAAGAAATTCTGAGAGCAAAGACATACAAAAATGGAGGCAGGGATGCCAAGCTTTTCTTCTATTTTTAGTTAATTTATGGCCCAAGTAAGGAGTCAGTGCTTTTCAGCAAAAGCAGTTTCTAAGTACCTGTTACAAAATCAGTTTAAATGGGCAATCAGAGTTGCTCTGAGGAGGGAGAGGAGTCCTGTAGAGTATTTGCTCCCCTGGAATGAGTGGTAGTTGTGATGGTGATGGTTAGTGATGATGGTGGTATGGTGGTGTTGTTACAAGAGATAGGAAAGGGACAAGGAGAATTCCCCAATAATAAGAGAGAAGGGGGAAGAAATCCTCAACTCAGCTTCCCAATTTCCATGCAAATCACAGGAACTTGAAATTCATGATTAAAAGCATTTTCAGGGGTTTAACAGAAAAGGGAAACTCACAAAGTGGAAGTTTAGCAAAGGTTTATTTAGTAAATCAGGATAAAGTAGGGAGAAATAGGGAGAAAGGAGCACCTGCTGACACACAGAGGGTAGGAAGAGAAAGGCTCAAAATACGCCCTTACTGGATATATTTATGCCTTCTGAGCTAGGGGAATTCCATTTTGAGCCTCACTGAAACATGTAGTCACATTACCTAATAACCTTAATCATTTTTCTAAGTTTCCAAGCATGAAGATGACACTTAGGGTGACTTTAGGGTGAGTTTATTATTGCCCAAAAGTATGGAGGAAAGGAGCTTAAGATGATTCTTGTTATTACTCAAGACATGGAGACAAGGGTAGACCTGTTATTACTCCAAACAAAGAGACAATGACATAACATTTAGGGTGTCCCTTTCTGGCAGAAGAGTTCATTCATCAAACATTGTTCCCCCCCCTTTTTTTCTTAGTTTTTAATTTTTTATTTTTGGCAGCACTGGGGTTTGAATTCCGGGTCTCACACTTGCTAGACAGGCACTCTACCACTTGAGCCACTCCACCAGCCTAAACATGCCCTTAATTCTATATTTCCCTACTAGTTTAAGAAGTTTGTACTTAATATTTAAAAGAAGCGGGGGAAATGGAAGGAATGCTTGCTGT